CCCCAAAACCCCAAAACCCCAAAACCCCTAATGAGCGATCAAACATTGAATTTCAGAATTAAGTAACTTTGCTAACTTCCCTTGTAGATGTGCCAAAAGAATGGTAGCTAAAGGTACCGGCAAGTACAAATCTGGCTGAAAATAGGGAAGCAGAGCTCTAACTCAATGGAATAGCTTAGTTAACAGCTATACCTACCCAAAGTCCATATATAACTAACTGTGGATCTATTTAATTGACCGAGATACCCCAAGCTGGGGACCTAACTGAGAACCTCTAATGGGTAAAGAAATCTGGGAACGACGTTTGTGCAAGTTTTAGGAACCACCTTTAGTTAAATCTAATAATAACCTCTTCTGCCTCCTCTGGATGCCCCTCTGCCTCTGGATGCCCCTCTGCCTCTGGTGCACCTTCCACGGCCACCTCTGCCACCTCTTCCCGTATTCCTCTGCACTGGGACCTTGGCTGCCTGTGGGATGGTATTTGAGCTCTGATTTGTGCCAGCCTTATAGATTCTGAACCTCGTGGATCCAATCATGGATTTCTTCTGTGAAGCTATCCTCAGACTTCTAGCAACTGAATTCACATGGTCAAACTCAACGAAGGCATAATAGTTATCGTCTGGCTTTCCTTCAAGATTACCTCCATTATAGATCCTCACATCTCTGACTAATCCGCAATCGTGGTTGTCTTGGAAGAAAGTAGTGATGTTTTCAACTGTGAAGGTTGCATTAATTGGCGAGATCCAGATTGACCTATCAAGTCTTTCTTGGTCCATGAACTGCATCTTATCCAAACTATCAATGTAGACACTCTGGTCACTTGACTTAATCTTCTTCGAAAGGGCTGTCAAGTATGGATCACTCAAATAGTTGTTCTTGATGAAGACCTTGTTGACCTTTGACTCTTCCAAAACTATCTTGAAGAATTTCTCAGCACCATCGTCACTGATAAAATTAAATCTTGTGGAAATTCCTTGGATAGCACACTTGGAGTTACCCTGGATACCTTCAGCAATGGCTAAGATTCCTTTATCTCTGAGACGGTTCGATCCTACATCTAGGTATTCCAAAGTATCGTTTGCCAAGAGAGTCTGTTTCAAACATCTAGCTCCATCAACATCAATCTGGTTCGAGTACAAGTTCAAATGGGTAATAGTGGTGTTGTTCTGCAAAGCACTGGCGACAGCTTGACACCCGCTTACTCCAAGTTTATTTCCAGAAAGGTCAAGCTTCTTAATAGTGAACTGCTTCTTCAATGCATCACAGAAGATCTTGGCTCCTTCCTTATCGATATTGTTCAGACTCAGATTCAGGTGAGTGCATTTGGTCTTTCCAATTGGGTTGTCCACACAGCAAGTGATGAGCTCCAAGTTCCTCTTTGTACTCAATCCACAATTCTTCAAGTTGTAATGAGTCAATCCAGTTGAGAATAACTTAACTAAGCTCGGATAGACAGGATTCAACCTTTTCTTAATATTAGCAATGCTGTCATAGAAGCTGATTGGAGTATTCTCAATCTGGAAGTGCTTGAGATTGCAGTGAAGCTCCTTCTCTAAGTCTTCTCCAGTCATCTTATTGGCAACCTCAATGTCTCCATACCAATACTCATGATTCTGCTCGCTGATGTACAAGTTAGTGATGAAGCTCTCAAGAGTGTTGTAGCTGAACCCTCCTTTGCAGGAGAGGGTCTCGAATACTCCCTTTTTTCTAGCATTCATAGCTACAGCTTTACCAAGTTTGATCGCAAAGTCATGAGAGTAGTTGATTGTAGTATTCATATGCAGAGACTTGAGTGTCTTACTCTCTCCCAAAGATACCCAGAACTCCTTCTTAATACCAGCCAGAATGTTCGAGTTGTTCAGAATCAAGTGCTCAATCGACCCTGAGATCTTTATCAGCTTATACAGAGCCTCACAGAGATTGGTTGAGTTCGACATATTCAAGTCTGTGAGATCAATGAACCTGATCCTAGGGCTAAAGGCTAGATTATAAATCATGGCAGTAACTCCAGCATCGCAATAGCTTGATCCTCTAAGCTTGAGTACTTCCAGCATCTTTGCTCTCATCAGACCATCAGCAATCTCCTTCAGGAATGCATCATTGTAACTTGTGCCAGAGAGATTAAGATCCTTGATATTTTTATTATCTGACAAAATTTTTCCCAATGGAGCTCCATCCTTTGGATTCATTACACTATCCTTAGTCTGGATTGACTCTAGCTCTGGGAGGTTTTTCAAAATTGGTGCCAGCCCATTAGTTAAGTAAGATGTATAAACTTTGTGTAAGAACAACTTTCTTAATTTTCCTCCGTTTTCATAGAAGTTGTTGAATCCTTTTACCATATGCTTGTAGGCACTTCCAAGTCTGTTTTCAATATCTGAGATGATCAAAGTCTCCAGACTAGTAAGGTTGGACAAAATAACCATGTAGAAGTAGTATCCACTCTTGAGTTGCCTCTTGTATTGGATTCTCAGGAACAATGTCTTGATCCTTCCATTCACAGCATGAAGGTAGTCATACAGGATCTTGAAATTATCCATCATTGGGAAAATATCCATAAAGTCCTCAAAGTCAAGCTTGGCGAAGAGTTCGAGCCATGTCATATCATCTGAGTACTCTTCATAGGCGTTAATGCTCTCGATCTTTTCATACTCATGGTTACGGAAGTTCTCATTATTGTACTTGATTAAAGTGTCTCCTTCCTTCTTCATATTGATCCTCTCCTGGTCTCTTTGCACTGCAAAGTCCTTGGGAGTGAACTTCTCGTAAGAGTGGGTGATCTTCATGGAGATCCAATTGTATCTTTCCAGACAAAGCTTCTTCCAGAAGTCCTCGTCACCTTCTCTGTCCAACTTCTGCTTCTTCTCGTCCCAGTACTTTAGAAGAGTTGGCCTTTCATGAAGAAAGTGGTCTGCTTGATCCTTCATTTCAGGAATAGCGTTTAGGTTTTCATCATCTCCATGATATTTCTTAGCGGATGAGTTTTTAGTAGCAGTCTTCAAAGATTCACCAAGGGTCTTCTTATCAGGGATCTTCCTACCAACGATCTCATAGTACTTGATGAAGTCTCTGACGTCAAAGATTTTGTTGATCTTACTCTTGACTTCAGCCTCGTGGTCATCGAGGAGTCTGCAGAATCTTTCGTCCAGCAAGTTAGTCAATTGCAGGAAATCTTTTCCTCCTTTTTCAAAGATTTCAGTGTTGATGAGCTTCATCATCATTGTGATTCTGTATCCAACGATGGTTGACTTAAAAGATACCTCGATCTTAGCGTCTTCGAGCTCTTGTTCTTGATTGGTTGGTTCCTTCTTTTCTTCAACAGTGGTATCCTCAGCATCTTCCTTGGTCTCCTCTTCAGCTTGCTTAGTTTCTTCAGTACCCTTCTTAGCCTGTTTATCCTTATTTTGTTCAGCCTTTCTCTTGGCTTTAGCCTCAGCCTTCTTTGCCTTCTCCTTCTTGATCTTCTCCTCATCAAGTTCGGGGATTTCTTGAAGGATCCAGAAGACCTGCCTATCTAGCTGCTCACTGAGATAGGATTCCTTAAGATCTTCCCAGCCGTACTTCTCAGAAACAGTTAGATACACAAGCAGATCTCCGATGCTAGGAGTAATATCTTTATGTCTTGACTCAGTATCCTCGATGAACTTCTGGAGTCTAGAGTCTAGCTCAGTCCTAAGCTCTGGGTACTTCTCAATGAACAAGAGGAACAGTCTGTGCACGTAGACAAACATCCTTATTGACTTATAAGAATGATGTAGCGATTCATTCGTCATATCAACAACAAGTGTTAACATCATCTTTGGCAAAACTTCAATGATCTGGGAAGGCTCGAATTTCTTGGTCGATCCCTTACAGATGAGCCCAATGGAGTGCTCTGCCAAAAACATCGTCTTTTCTTTATCAATACCAAAGTACAGTGGCAAGAAGTGGGTGAACTTCTCATTCGACAGTGAGTGTCTCACTCCGCATTTCATATACGCTTGGATACTGAGCAAGTCAAGTGTTGTAGATACAGACCGTATCTCTCCAGTCCTTGGAAGCCTGGAGATAGTAATACCTGCTCCTAGAGTAGTCTTGTCCTCAACAAGGCTTAGCCTTGTGTGGAAGCAGACAACCTCTTCCATCAATAGCTGCTTCTCCTCCATTGGCATGACAAAGTTCTCCTCGTCTTTTTCCTTAGTACTAAATGGAGGATATGGAGAAAGAGGTCCCTTATGGTTAATAGAAAGATCCTTGAACTCATTAGCAAGCTTGACCTCCTCTTTGATCTTCTCTTCATTATCTTTGGGTGGTTTCTCGAACAAGAATGACTGCAACTGGATCAAAACACTCTGGACAGTGTATCCGGAAGTCCAGCCTTGGTACAAAACTTTATCTGCGCCATTTAGCATATCCAAGCACAAAGTTGTACCGAATACATTTGGATGGGTCAAAGGAGTCATTAGACGAATCGTCGGTGGCTCAGTAGGATACAATTCAGGGAACTTGATCTCAATATGGAACACTCCACCCTTATAAAGAGTATCTTCAGGACCTCTCAGATTCCCTCTCCATGTGAAGATATCTTTATCCATTGGACGAGCAGTAACTCCAACAGTAGGGATCTTGTTCTCTTCAATTTCCTTAGCATCTCTAGCTAGTCTTTTCATTGCCCATGATTTATTCTTATTGACAATGGATTTCAATAGAGCAGTATCTCTCATTTTGGCAGGTTGACGATTTCTACCTTTCATTTTACTTGGAATAATATATTTTTAATATGAAGTTCTAACAATTGACCCCCAATTTACCTGAAAAAAATCCAATCAGAACTTGCCAATCGGGGTTTTGGGGTTTTGGGGTTTTGGGGTTTTGGGGTTTTGGGG